CACCGATACCTCTCGTCCACGGCGACTCTCGCTCGTCGGCTGGCTCCGACCGCAAACGGTTAAAGCGTCCACTCGTTCGAACAAAGTTGCGCCACGTACTCTTGATTTTCTGCTTCTGCGAACGTGGTTGACCAGTGACGAACGAGCGACTGTCTCGTCGACCAACGTACGTCAAATCACCGTGTACAGTGAAACGAACGAAAACGTTCCCATCTCGTAGTTTTTCTTCTTTTCTCTCCTTTTCGAAATTTCGAATAAAAAAAATCGGACGCGAAAGATTCTTACCAAAGTCGAAGAGCAACGTCCGCGCATTTTTCAAGTACGAGTTTCGCAACGAACTTTCAAACGTCTCTTCTTCGCTCGTTACAAATTTATACAATAAAACTGTCCCTGTTGATTTGTTTCGTCGCTGACTCTTCCTCCCTCTCTTGCAACGTTCGAAAACGACGACCAATTCGAACGCACGCGTGTACGCAGTGTTCGTCGTCCTAGAGCAAAGTACTTTGTATAACTTTTCCTGTTTGATCGTCCGTCCGTCCGTCCGTCCGTTCAATCGCTGATCGATCGAAATTCAAATGTAATTCTTTCAAATACGCAATCTTCCGCCAAAGATTGATTTGTCTTCTCAGAAATACAGCAACGACCGTATCCCGAAGAGCGTGGTAACGACGTATCGACCGCCTGAGATCTCGAATCTCTTTGCCGTGTTTGAACGACGTTCGATGGGAGTTCGACGCTGGCGTTTCCTTTGATTCTTACTTTTACGCAAAGTTACGTGAAACGGTCCGTGTGTACTGTGCGGGAACTGCGCGTTTGAAAGCGAGGGCCACTTTCGACGATTTTGCTCGTTCGTGAAAGCGAAAAGAGGAACTTTTAAGCGTCCGTTGTGATGCAAAATCTTGTGAAATTACGCAAACCACGTAACCACGTGCGTGGTGATCGGACAGTCGTACGTTCGTTAGTTAGGAATCCAGCTGTACAGAGTCGCAAAATCAACGGTATTGCACGCGCGTGTGTGTAATTTTGCTCGACAGACGACAAATAGTCGACGTTTCTCCCGTCGTCTGTTTGATAAAACGTCTTTCGACGTGGTTGTACCATGGTCGTTTTTTGGCACTAGTGTCGTCGGGACGCTCGGAAATTGGGGCGTACGACGAACGAGCGACGTTGTACGCTACCGCCGCGCTCGCTCCGCTCTTTCGTCGCTGTTGTTTGAACGGTGCTGCATTTCCAAACACGGTTATAATAATTTGTAAAATTACAATCCATCGCGTCCATGGATTGTAAGAGTAACGTCTTAAATTGTAAAAGAGCGAATAACGTTTCAATTTGTCGCGAGACTCGTTTGAATTTTAACGCGTACTCCCATCCGAAATTTTTGTACGCGTGTCTGCCTGTCTGTCTGTCCGTCTATCCATCTGTCTATCTGTAACGAAACGCGTCGCGCGAAGCGTAGTGAAAAGATTAATTGCAAGATTAATTGCTTTTCTACCACGAATCGAACGAGACGCTACGTGGTCGGTTGGATAATTTTCAGTCGCCGACTACTTACGAGTTGGCAAAATCTGCGTCGTCGGACGTTTATGGGCGGCGTTTCTGAATTTTCGATACGCGCGTCTTTTCTTTCTGTACACCGGTGATACGCATCTTCCTCTTTCGTCGTCTTTCTTTGTCGAACGAAGCATTTCTTTGCCCCTGGCCTGATCCTCCATCCGGCCATGGATGACATCTTCTCCGGTCTCTACAGTCGCGCGCCTACGCTAGAAACGACTTCTATTCCATACTGTCGACGATGGCGGTGTCGTCGAGAGTGTGCAGCCAGTTAAAAATCATCATGTTCCTCTCGTATTTCGATAATTGATTTCCACGTTCTCGTTCAACGTCTTTGACGGTCAAAGCGTGGTTTCGCTCCTTTTGTCCCAACAGTGCGGATCCAGCAGCGCCCGTTGTCCCAGGGACCAGCAACGTCGTTCCAGAAGCACTTTGCGCCGCACTCGCTACCATCTCCAATTGATCTAAATTGAATTCGCTTTGTGAAAGTCGTTCCAAAGCGCGATATGTCGTTAACAATCTACAAATTGTGAAAATTAAACGTGTATTAATGTACCGTACCAGTCGTGATTGCTCGTATACGTCGAATGCTTTCTTCGATCGTTACGATCGTTCGTGCAACGATCGAAAAACATGCAAAACTACATTTTCTTATTAGCTTTTACTGGCGTATCGATAATTGTCGAGTAATCGTATCCCTGTCGGGGATCGATCGCTCCGTGTTATTCTTTGGTATTTTTCTTTTTCTTTTTCTTTTTCTTTTTCTTTTTCTTTTCCGTGTAAAAAGTACAAAGACGTACTCGAACGATTTAGATTCGTAAAAACTGTCGAAAGATTAATTTCAACCTTCCACCCTGACGCTAAACGAGTCGTACGATTTACGTTGCGATTTATCCATCCGTCTTGGAAAATGACGTTACAATTTTACGCTTGTTTGACAAACGACTGTTTAAGAGGAGATGTGCAGAGGATACGACATCCGTGCGCTGATGCGAAATGAGTTCGAAGAAATGTATTAAAAAGAATACAAATGACGAGGGATTGCCGAACGAAATTCAGGTTGATCGTCACGGGGAAATGAGCGGACGTTGGATAACGTACCTGTGTATTTCAAAGCAGGTATCGTTGAAGGGAAACGAGGAAAGCTGGCAAATTGTTTGCGTTCGTTTCGTTCGACTCGAGTGAGAGAAACGGAGTTTGCCGGAACGAACGAAGAATGATCGTGGATGGTAGGTAACGAGAAAGACGGAACGACGAGGCGAGGCCTGGTCGTAGAAACAAAGAGATGTGGCAAGACAAAGTGGAGGAAGAAGAAGAGACTCGTCTTTACCGACAGTTTAAGTTTCGGACAAATTTCCCGGACAAGGCGAGTTCGTCTCTCCGAATTTCCGAGGAGAAAGCTAAGGAGAAGTAAGAATAGGTGAAGAAGAAGAAGAAGAAATTTTGCATTATGGTTATCTCGACCGGAGATTGCGGTCGTGGCAGAGGAAGAAAAGGAAAAGGAAACGGGAGAGATGACAAAGACTGTTTGAAAAACTGTAAATTTTTGGAGGAGAACGGGGTAAAATGTCTGACTGGGAATGAAACAGTTTGAAAGAATTTGTCCAATTGTCGTTTGATTTTTCAAATTTTCCAAAGAGAGATGAAAGTTGAAGGTAGTTTGCGTAGGACGGAAGAACGCAACGGTCGAAAACAAATCCGCGGACAAATTGTGCGTGCATGGCAGCTACTCGTACGAGCCATCCTTTTTCTTACTTAATTTCTCGCTTGTAAGAAACAAGAGTGTGCAAAGTCGAGTAAATATGTTCAAGGTTGTTGTTGTCGTTGTTGTTGTTGTTGTACCAACCTTCGTCGTATGTAATTTTGGCGAACCTTTTTGTTCACGGACCTGACAAAGTCAGCTCCTGTGAAAGGTATAGGCGGATGTGGCGTAATTGGCGGTTGCTGTTGTTGACTGCCAGACTGAGAAGCGGAAGTAGTCTGCTGCTGCTGCTGCTGCTGCTGCTGCTGCTGCTGCTGCTGTTGTTGTTGTTGTTGGTATTGTTCCTGCGTAGCTCCGCCGTGAGGGCTGGGAAGCTGCGACGTGTTGGCCACTGGTTCGCCGACGGCGACCCACGTGCTGCACGATCTTGAAGCGTGATCGAGACGCGCGTGTTCCAAAAGCAAGGTATTCCTTTGGGCAGTGTTCAGGGCCAAAGTGGACACAGCCGATCGTAAGCCGCTCGGGCCCGATACGTCCGGGCTTGGCAGTTGAGACACGTCGCTGGTGCTGAAGCTTTTGCGAAGACCGAGCGCCGAAGAGAGTACCCCGCAACTACGAATCAACTCGTTTTCTTCCTCGAACCAAAGAATCTCCGGTATATCTGCTGGCCTGAAAACGAAACGACAAACGCCATCAACCGCTTCGATCGTACGCGTGTTCCGTCTTTCGTTCTTCGCAAATTCAACGGATCGTACGAGTAACGGTAACGATAACGACGGTGGTAGTAACGACAATGGTAGCAACGATGTGCGACCTATTGACAAACCTGTTGGTTTGAACCTGACGAGAGTCAGGTTTCGGCGATGGCCCGCGACCAGCGAGGTGTATGTCCGTGTAAGATTTGAAATTAGCCAGTCTGTTAACCCCCCGCAGCTCGCTTGCTATCGAAGAGACACTGAAGAGAGAGAGATCGGTCGTAACGCTCTCGTGACTCGGCGATCGTAACATTCGTGATGTCACTTGAAGCGCTGGACACTGGACTGTATCTGTTGGCAAGCTGTTGCAGCATTGCGTTGAAGCGGCCGCTGGTAGCGGTGATGCCGGTTTTCCTTTCCTCTCCGACATTTCCTCCCCGTTCTCTTTCTCCGTTTTCAACTGTTTGATCTTCTTCTCTCGTAAACTATGAGAAACTCTGTATCGCTGTACTCGTTGTTTAATATCGTCGACATGTTTAATTCCACGTGACAGCTCCTCGTAATCGATCTTTCTTTCTTTTTCCCTTTTCCGTTGCTTTCCACTCGATATCGAATCCGATAAAATTCTTTCTCCGAGAGAATCGAAATCT